CGATTATAATTTCTCTTTAATCATTACCTAGAGAAATCATTGCCAGGAAAACACAGGTTGGCTTAGCTATTGTTCTCCAGTGCCCTTTGAGGGTTAATCAAAGCTTCTAAACAATAATGAATGTGCTTGGATTTATGCCCAGAAAGCACTTCAGGAGATTCTAAATTCCTGTTCCCAGGGCCCTAAAAAAAGAAAGTTTTAGTGAGTAGTTAGCAGCAAGTAGATTTTGCATTGCTAGAAATCAGTTTTGGTCCAAAGAGCTGGGTATAAAATCCTGACTTTGTAGTGTGTTGGTATTTGCAAAGTGGCATGCTAAACCTGGCAGAGGAAATGTCACATAGATATTTCGTCTGTGCCAATGAGATCCTTAAGCCCCAGAGTGTCATCAAGCCCTGCCCCACTGCCCCCATAATATTCTAGTGATGTTTCCACCATCTCTTCCACTCAGAAGGAACAGATTCTTTAGATGCCATGCTTTGGTTTGGAGAGTGTAGGCCTTCCTTTCTCTAAACTCTTGGATTTGTTTGACCTCTGGTTCTTGTTGAGTTCAAATGGGCAATGGAAGATGGGGGCTATATGAATGGGCAAGGAGGAACATTTCCCAATTAAATCAAATTCTCTGTTTATTCCACACAAAACTCACACAGCTGAAGGTGCATAGAGCAAAGCACACATCTGGGCTCCCTGGGAATTCATGAGATGGGCTTTCATTGTTGCCTAGCAAACAGATTGCTTTCCTCTGGTCCATTCACTTTCCCATTATCCTAGACAACTATTTTACATCTCGTTTTTCAAAATCTCCATCACTTCCTGCCTAGTACTCATTCTCAGATGTTTTCCCTGAGAACAAATTATCAAATGAGAATCTCATTTTGACTCCATCTGCCCCGTTTGCCTCCCTTCTCTCCTTTCACTGTTTCTATGTGCCACTCATAGTGGCCCCATATGGCAGGACAGAACTGTCCCCCTGGGTTCCCTAGGTTGTCAGCTTTACGGAAGCAGATCGCCAGGTCTTTCTCCTGCAGAGCCGCTGGGTGGGTTTGAACAGCTAACTTCTCAATCAGCAGCCTCACGCCAGCACCTCCAGGGGTTTGATGACTATTCTCCCCTTTGCTATCATCCCTTCCCTCTCAAAGCCACAATCCATTTCGCCTTTTATAACCAGATTCCTCCAGCATTATCTATATTCATAATTTCCAATTTCTCACCCTCATTTTTCCTTTGATTCAACTCCAATCAGACTTTTATGCCCACCCTACCGCTGAAATGCTCTTACATGGTCTCCAGTGACCTTGATGTTGCTAAGTCTCATCCTACTTGGTTTATTAGAGCAGTATTTGATGATTCATCTCCATCCTCTTTGAAACATTCTCCTGACTTGGGTTTTAGGGCCCATGCCCTCTTGGTTCCACTCCTTTGTCTCTGACCAGTCCCTCTGGTTTCCTTTGCTGTTTCTTCTTCATCTGCCTAACCACTAAACTTCGGATGCCCCCAAGGCTTAGACAAAGGCAAGGGCCTTTTCTCTCTACTGCCTCCAGTTCCTCCTAGGCTCTGGGTTGTACATGCTGTTTATATGCTGACTTGAAATCCTGCATACCTTTGGCTTGAACTGTTCTAGCACCACACTTACATGGCTGCATGGCCTGCCTTCCTTACTTCCCCAAGTGGAGTCCAGCAGGCACCTTGACCTTAAGATGCCCCAAGTGAGCTCCTCCTCAGTCCCTCCACACTCGCTCCTGAGTCCTTTCCATCTCAGCAAATGGCAGCTTCCACCTGCCCAGGGATAGACCACCAGTACCCTTGGAGTCTGCGGTGGTCCTCCGGCTTGGGATGAGGTGGGAAGCAGCAAGCCCAAACCCAGGTTCTAGAGAGTGGGAAGTGCTGAGCCAAGAAGGAGGGCTCTGACTGGGATTTACACCCAAGGACAAGAGATACTCTTCTTAGATGTATTTGTTCAAGGTGTTTGCCCTAGTAATGTGCTTCTTTGGAGTGATGATAAAGGGAGAGGCTGCATTAGATTGTGAATGTGGTGATAAATTTGGTATTTGTCACTGGCAAAGGTTCTAGAATCTACAGAACACCAAGACACCAGAAGGAAACAAGGAACGAATTTGGTAAGTCAACAAAGCATTTTATTCCACAGGAAGAAAATGATGACGCTGATAGGAACAGCAGACGAAAGAGTCTTAACAGATTGATGATTGTAAGAGTGCTTACACAGTGGAGAAGCAGAGATTTTCTTTTCGCAATTTTACCAAGCAGCTACTACGGTGTTTTGAGGCACAGATGATACTTCCGAACAGTGACGTGAGTAGTCACCAAAGAGCAAGCCACTGGGTGCTGGGGAAGAAGCTGCTTTTGTTTTCATTTCATGGTGACCAGTCCAGGGGTGTGGAGAGATGCTGACCTCTGGCTAGCCTTCCCAGTGGGCAAAGCAGTACAGCCCTGGTTAGGTAGCCATGGGTTGGCCAACTGTTCTGGCTCAGGGACTCGGGATGGCTTCAATTTCTCCTTACCCAGTTTCTCTGTATTTCAATTTATTTTACTTTCCTTGGAGAGGGACTGTGCAGTTGAGGCAGAATGAAAATCAGAGAAGTTATCCTAACAGAATCTCAAACATCACTGGCCAAATTCCAATTGGAAAAGAAAAGGTAGTCGAAAGGCCAAGGGTTTGGATTTTGTTCCTGTTGAATGAGAAAACTGCCTAAAGCCCCTGAAACGAGGCCCTGGGGGCCTGGCAGGAGGGCTGTGAGGGCAGTAGAGAGCTTCAGAAGTTCTCAGTTACCTGCCCAGTACTCCCCCTGCCCCCCAGCCCCACCCCATTTGGTCTTGGGATCCCATTTTATCATCTGCTTCTTCTAAGGTGCAAATGTCAAAGATAGCAGTGGTTGTGCAATTGGAGGAGATGGTCAACCATTTAAAGAGCTGATTAAAATTAGAAGGAGCTCTGCGTGGAGGGTGCCGAACACCTCTCTGGAGTCCTCCTGAAAGCACCCTCCCTCCCACAGCTCTCTGCGGCCAGATCCGAGAATGGTCAGTTGTTGCTGGCGGCAGGAAGCCGATTTAATGAAACTAAGCTTCTTGTTCCAGGAAAGCAATTTCTAATGACTCTATTCCACAAAGTTGAGAGCAAACTCACTGATGGAAGCAAACTAGCCTTCTGAGCGTCTCGTGGTTAAGAGGTCATGACCTCAGGCAGTGGGTTACTGATGACAAAAACCACAAGCCAGACTCATGGGGTGGTTTAGGATGGGTGGCTGGTGAGGAAGACCCGGAGGAGTTAGCACTTGGCCGTCCTGCTGTGCATCGTGTGTTTGAGAGCCCATACAGGCAGGAAATACCACCTAGCAACCAAGAGACCAATCCACTTGGAGTACTAAGGTTTGGTATTCAGTACCTTGGTATTCAAGAGGGCTGATCCTGAAAAACACTAGCCAAAGCACTTCTGCTAAAGCTCCCTCCTGCCCTCTTTGAGCGTGTGCTCGCACGGGTACGTGTACACACACACACATCCACACACACAAGATTAGCTTCATTTGTGTCTTGGAAGGATTTTGGTCACAAGTTATAAATGCCCGAACCTTCTACACATCCACTGATCCGTAAACCATCTTAAGTCTTGGCTACCCATATGTGACAGGATGTAGAAATTGATTTGTTTCATTAAAATAAAAATTTTTAAATTGCAATCACAAGGCAAGTTATTCACTCTAGTATGAGGACCCCCCCCCCCAAATTCTTGACCACTCTCTTCATTTGCTTATTCCTAACAGAAAAAGGAAAGAACAAAGACAAGACCCAAGCTGACCCAAGAAGGAGGGCTCACACCAGGGTTGGCTACTGACTGGAATTTACAGCCAAGGACAAGAGACGCTTTCGCCAAAAAGACACCAAAGGCAAGAGGTGGCTCTTGGTTTCGTGAAAAGCTTACAAAAAGGCTGCTTTTAGTAACTCAAACTGTAGTCCCTTTCCTGAGACGCTCTGTCTCCCCTTCGTGTCCTGTGTTACTGCCACTGAGTCCACTAGAACAAAAGGCAGCAGTTCTAGAACCTTCTCTGTAGTGACTGTTGCCCAGAAAAGCGAGTATTCTTATTGTGGATTTTTGAGAGCTCCAATGAAAGAGTTCAATGAGAATTTTTCCCCTTTTAAATCAACAGAGGCTACCAATATTTCATAGTGACCCTGTCTGATCAAACCCAGACACAACACTAATGGGTTTTTGTGCGTGTGGTAACCTTAAAGGTTGGCAAAAGCAGCCAGGAGGAAAACAAAGACATGGATTTTAAAAATGATTTGTGAGACTCTATAAACAATCTTTAAAAATGGGGGTGAGAGAAAAAAAGAGACTCCCACCATATCCTCCTACATTCTCTTCGTTGGGGCCAGCTCTGGGTCTGAGAACTTTGGCTCACAGCTCCAGCCGGGATAACCACAGGTTTCGAATGCCTCTTGAATACTTGGATCTCTCCTCGATCCACTTTCCTGTGAATACTTAAACTTCCAAAACGCAGACAGAACATTCTTCAGTTTTCAAGAATGTCATTTTACAGAGAGTACCCTGAATTATATGTGTAGAGTTAGTGCAATAGAAGATTCAATATAACTTTAAATTACTTTACAAGTTAACAAACCTTTACACACACCACAGGCCCTGTTTAGATGTTCCTATATATTTACAAACACACAGTTGTACATATATACATGTTACCAAAATACAGGGCAATCTAAAAATTAGATTCATCTCAGTACATTCTTCTTTTTAACGCTATCCACCACACCTTTTAAAAATTTACTTCCCTGTAATCTAAATCACCTCATCCCAGTAATACAGCTCCCACTTCTGTTTTCTCCTTCAGTGTTTGCTTTCACTTATTTCTTGATATCTTCCCATGTGCCTTGTTCTGGGTCCGCCTTTAATTTCAGCCAAGAGAAGGGACCTCTTTCCTCCTGATGGGCTGGGGCTGGGGCTGGGGCGCCCCTTGCCACACAGCTGGCAGTGTTCAGGAGTCCAGCTCCAGTTGCTCTTGATTTTCACTGAGTCTTAACATAAGTTGCTGTTCATAGTAAAGGCTCTTTGCATAGTTTATTTCTTGTGATAATTTGACAGCGAGGACCTCAGATTTCACATGGACCTGAAGAGCAGAACAGAATGAGTAACCTGCCTGCGAGGTGGGAAAATCAAATGCAATTACAGCATGTGGGCAACTGCCGCAGCAGCAGCACGCTTACGCTCTTAAAAAATAGGGATTCCTAGGACTGTAGGCCAGTTCATTCTGATTCAAAGGTCTGGGGCATTTGTAACATATTTCCTAGGCTTAGCCCACAATCACCTGACATTGGGGCATCTCTGTGACTCTGGCCCAGTTGCAGGCCTGAGTTGGGCAAGGCCAAGAGCAAAGGGCAAGGCTGCTCCTCTGGGTTGCACATTTAAACTCTGTGATGGCCAGAGCGGAAAGACACAGGAGCAGCAAACGCCTGAGGCCTTTCTCATCTGGGGCAAGGGACCAGAGTTTCCTTCCTTCCTCCACCAGCCCTGATACAAGCCCATGGTGTGGCCATGGCCCTGACCTCAGGGGGCTGCACAAGGCTAAACAAACTCAAGTGCATTCCTGAGCAGGGGCTGGCCAAGGGATTCCTGAGAGAGGCCTCCTGAGGCTGGATGCTGTCTTGGATCTGTAGACAGGACCCAGAGATAAGCAGGGACACTGTGAAGGCCGCTCGTTCTCCAGGGCAGGCTTGGAACTCAGAGCATCCTGGTGTGGCTCTGTGGGTTAATGCACCAGACTGCAAAGTCAGTTTGAACTGCAAGGTCGGTGGTTCAAGCTCACCAGCTGTTCCTTGGAAACCCTATACAGGGCCGCTGTGGGTCGGAACTGACTCGATGACACTTAACAACAGCAGCAGCAGTAGCAGCAACACTTAGGCTTTGTGAAAAGCCACCAAGTCAGAGGACGGTTACAAAAAGGCCAGCTCCCCCCGCAGGGGCTTCTGCTGGAGCCATGGTTGCTCTGGCAGATTGGACCACTTGGGACTGAGCCCGGGTGTTCCTGTGTTGGCTGCCACAGGCAAGTGACCTGTCCTCAGCAGAGTGTGGACAGTGATGGTGTAGCTGCAGGTGGTGAGCCCCTTAGTTATTGTCAGTTGTTAGTGCGAGTTTCATCAGTAAGCCCTTCCATCGGTCTATGTCACACCCCATGGAGGCAACGTCTACATTGTATCTACAGTACTGCTTCAATGTGCAGCAAATAGCAAGTTTGCATTGTTACAGGAGAAACAACAGAGAGACGACTGTGTGCTCTAGCACCTTCCTGGAGTCAGGGAACTGAAGCCTCACCTTTGAGAAAGAAACCCCCGAGCATCCCGCTCCTGGTCCCCGTCCTGTACTGCTGGGGACCAGAGGCACAGATGACGAGCAATGACCCACAGTCATAGTGGAGGAGCTGGGAGGGTCCCTGGGATTAGTCACATGGCCCTGGACCCCGAGTGCTGTCACGCGTCCACTCCGGAGTAGCCAGCAGAGAGGCCAAGTGTGTACTCACCATGGGTTTCTGGTGGGAAGGGCCGGGGATGGACACTCCGCTGCTTGTGCTCACGGCTTTCTTGGTTACCTGCACATACACCTTCCCATGGTCTTTGGAGACGAGGCAGTGGTAGAGGTCATCGTATTTGACTTCGAGGAAGACGGCTTCTCGGTCGACGTAGTCTCCACTCTTGAGGAAGTACACAGCTTTGGAGGAGATAAGCACACAGTAGCTGTCGATGTTCTCCACGGCGATGAAGCTGCGGAGGGAGAGGACAGAGAAGAAAGGCACTCAGCTTCTCCTCCCTGTCACTGAGCCACAGAAAGGGGTGCACCAGACCCCCAAAGACCTAGGTTGGAGTCCAGACACCGTCATGGATGATTCCTTGAGCAGGTTGGCTTAGTTGCTCTGAGCCTCGGTTTTCTCATTTGTAAATTAAGAATGAAAATGGTGCTGACCCGGTGGGGCTGTGGAGAGGCGCCTGTGTGAGGCTTACTGCACACTCCACAGGACGCTCCATACGCGCTAGTGAACGATGATGCTAATGGGCCCGACAACAGAAACAATGGCGTTTGTGGGGTGTTTCTGCAACCGTGTCCCTATGAGTCCGAACCGATACGCCAGTACTTTAACAACAAGGCAGCTAGAATGCTCCTTAGAAGAGAACCTTCGTCTCTCATACTTTGGACACATTATCGGGAGGGTACTAATCCTTGGAGAAGGACACCAAGCTTGGCAAAGTGAAAGAGAGGAAGACCCCCAACGAGATGGACTGGACACTGGCAGCAGCAATGGCAACTGAGAGGCTGGGGGAGGACTGGGTGGTGTTTTGGTCGGTTGTTGGAATTTAACAATCTAACAACAACAGGGCTTCCAGGAAACCGTAACAATGTTTTGTTGGAAGAAAATATACTGCTTTCAAATGCCAAACAGAAGTGGTGGCTGCGAGAGTTTCCTGCTAACCTGAGAGAGGTCAACACTGAGAGACAGGGGGCAGGAAGGGGAAAGAGTGGGATTACACAGGTCCACCAAAGTGTCCAACAGGAAAAGTGGCATTTCATGTCCACCCTCCCTGACTGATGGGGAGCTCCTGAGACTCCCTCCACTTTCACTCAGTGTTGGTTGTTGTTGTTGTTGTGTGTCGTTGCGAACCACAGGCCTTATGGCCACCCGTCCAGTGCTTATCCTACAGCGCCACACTAGGGCTCTCTGTAGGTAAAACTGCCACTGGTTGTCATCATTTCAGTGGCTACTTGGGCAGCTGCAGGAGGGAGGACTGACTTGCGGTGGAGATGTGTGCTCTCGGCCGCTCTGCTTGGCTAGAGTGCAGGGCAGTGAACTTGGAAAGCAGGCTGACAGAGCTCTCAAGTCTGGCTGCCTGCACTGCATCTTGTGACCGTCTTTGACAATGGGGCTGCGACATCAGAGGACAGGGAGTGAGAACCCATGAATACCAAGGGTCCTGAGAGCTGACAAGAGGCTGGCTGTCCAGCTCCAGGCCCCTGAGACTTGGATCCTGAGGGGGAATTTCCATACTATTTGCTGGGAGCCAAAGCTCCACCGGGAATGGTTCCAGGACCAGGTCCCAGGCGGCTTTGTTCCTGGGCTGGCAGTTACAAACCCCTCCGAATATGATGAGTGGAGTTTGTGTGGCAGGGCAGGCCTGCATGCTGGAGGTGCTCGAGCACCTCTGGGCATGGAGAGAGCTCCCCGTGGAACAACAGCCCCTCTCCTGGCTCTCCTGGGGTCTAAGTCCTCCCTCCCCAGGAAGCATCCTCTAAACACTCAGACCCCTCCCCCACTCTTCAAAGATCCTCTAGGACAGAGCAAACTGCTCCTCAGAGTTTCTGAGACAAAATCTTTATGGGAGCAGACAGATTTGTTTCTCCTGTGCAGCAACAGCTGGGTTTGAACCACTGGCCTGGCAGTTAGCAGTCCAGTGCCTAACCTTCAGTACCACTAGGGCTCCTTCAGTTTTGAACACTTAACCCATTTACCTTCAAACTCTTACTTGGTCTTTTCATGTTTCCTGGACAAGGGTACGGCTAGCCCCGTCGGAGCAGGATCCATACCTCCCGCCCCTGGACCCGCCTCCGAGGACCCACCACTGAGCTGGCCACCCCATCAGTCCTCAGTAGGTTTTCGTCTTAATTACTGCCTCCCATAACAAAAATGGGGGTTTATTGTTCTGTTCTAACTGGTTGGCAATGCCAAGAATGTAGACTTGTAAAGTCTCAACACCAAAATTAGAAATACCAACAGCTTTCAGTGCTCCGGTCACTGAGCACAGACCTTCTCACCCCCTGGGCTCTGAGAGCACCAAGGGGCTTCATCAACACTTCATCAACACAGTGGAATCCGGGCATTGAGGGCCCAGGGGAAGGAGACGAGACAGACAGGAAGCATCAGGGGTGAGCCAGCACTGCTCAGGGCACCCCCTAGACACTGTCTCAGCACCAGGAAACGACCCCCAGCCTCTGGGTGAGGGTGTCAGGAACATGGCAGCTGCTCCCTCACAGGAGGACCAGTGGGTGAGCAGGCCAGGGCATAAAACCCCAACTGAGATGCCACTGGAATTCCCACAATGGCCCCCTGGCCCCCTCTCCACATCCCACGGGCACCAGCTACAGCAGGCACTTCTGCCTAGACCTCTAGGGCAGCCGCTCTTACCCTGGCCCGGTTGCTGACATTCCGAGTACACTAGCCACAGGGGACACTTTCATAGGGTCTAAAACAACCTCCCATCCAGGATGCCACAGGTGACGCAAGCCCTCAGTCGGAAGGCAGGATGGCTCTGAGCTAAGATGCTGGTGACACAGTGAAGGAGACATGGTCCAGCAGTCAGGAGCCCCTGCGCTCGGCTGCAACTCTGGCCAACTCTCTCCCCTGCTTCGAGGTTCCCCGTCTTTATCCTTCTCACAGATTACATAGTACCTGCCCGCTTTGTTCCTGGAGTTACTGCAAAGGTCAACAGCCTACATGCCAATTAAAACGTACAGGAAGGAGAGCAACTTGGGGATCTGCAGAGACCCTGATTCTCTATGTCTGGGTCTAGTTGCACCCTAAAAGACTTACCTGACAATTCCATTTTGGGGACAGTTACATGAAATATTCTAAAAGTCTTTAAATCACAAAGAGGCATTTAGCGCCAAGGGTTTAACTAAACAGAAGGGAGACAGCTACTTCTGCACAAGCTTGGCAGGAGATGTGGGGGTAGTAAAACCAGGGTGGGCAAGTCAGGTCCCTACCAGGGTCTCGGGAAGGAACCCTGAGGAGGCTGGAGGAGCAACCAGCTCTGTCTGCTCACTCCCCTTGTGATGCTTCCCCAGCCCACCCACAACCCAGGAGCAAGGCTGTGGGCCTCTTAGTCCCTACTTTTTAATAAAATCTGGAAGCCACATCAAAGGATAATTAAAAGTGAGCTCCAAAGTAGTGCCTTCCTCTAATGGGGACCGACCTCCCATCTATCCCTCTTTGGCTCGCCTCCTCAGGTATCATGGTATCTGCTCCATCCTGTTTCTCTTTTTCCTTCTTCAAAGCCAGGGTGATTTCTGCCCATTCCGGCTGTCCACATACAAAGGGCTCTTCTCCGCGGGCACTTGTTGTCTTCACTGCAGAAAAAGGTCTCTGACTATGAACCAGGGCACAGGGGTGACTACGGCACATGCTGTTTTCCCAGTGTGGTCTGGACTCTGGGCTTCCATTCCTCAACGTCCAAAACCAAGCTTCACCCAAGACTTGCTTCTGACCCATGCATGAGTGACTACTGGGAAATCACATGGATGCACAGAGGAGAAAGCAGATGTGGCCTTAGGCCTTCACCCTCTGATCTGTTAGCAACTCAAGGCAAAGGAGCAAGAGAACAAGTGGTGAGAACCACAGCATGCAGCTAAGCTTTATCCTGGCACACAGCTATGGAAGCCCAGGAGGTCTGTGACACAGCTGAGGGGGCTATAATTGATTCTAAAGAACCATTACGGTCATAATGGTAAATATCCAGACAACAAACATTGGCCGTTTCAACAATCTTCTCATGCACAGTTCAGGGACATTAAATATGTTCACCATGTTCATCCACTACCATTCCCAACGTTTGCCCACCACCCTTAATCGAAGCTCAGCGTCCCCTAAGGGCTGTTTCCCTTTTCTCTTTGCTCCTACTCACCCTGGCAACCACTAATCAACTTTGGTCTCTCTACACTTCTGATTCACCAGTGTTTCCGTACAGTTTTTGCACTTCACTTGCTATCTTTTTTCCCCATACGGAGGGGACACTCTGGCCTAAGGATCAATGTCAGAAGGTTTCTTCTGAGAGAGAGGAACGCTGTGGCCCATGGCTTCCACCTTTCTCCAAGAGGACAGACGTTAATAGCAGAAGACTGAATGCTGCTCACTAACAACATCCGTGAACCAAAAACACCATGGGGATATAGTCGCCATTCTCCAGGTATTATCAACAGCAGTAGCTTCGGTTTCCTTCAGTTGGGGCAGGAAATACTGTGATCGGAGGCAGCTGGCCCTTGGTGCCAAGTGGCTCTGCTTTGCTCTAGGCAGGTGGCTTCGCTCAGAGAGAGCTCCCCGTATTAGTTGGGTCATGATGGCTCGGCAGGACCACTATGATTTAGGCTCCCAGCATGGAGGAGATGCTCAGCCCATGGTGGCTATGGCTATTCCTGCTACAGTAAACACAGGCTCCAAGTTCGCCTGAGCCTGTCGGGGGGGGATGCCATTGCAAGTCTACCAGTCTTCTCGTCAGCATGTTGGGGGAAAGCTTGGCTCTGACATAGAAAAGAGTCCAGGACTGGTTTCTATTTAGGGGAAGAGGGCGCCTCCAAGCATCTCTCTCAACTATTCTTGCTTTTCCAATTCATTTCTCTTTTCCTCTCACTTTTTACTTGTTGCTTTTCTGTTGATAATTCTAATTTTGCATCTGTTTCCTAAGCGTTTGAAGCTGTCTTCCTCCATAAGTGCTCCCAGAGAAGACTTGTTCATCCTGGGCGTCATTTCCACCACACCCATCTGGGCCTCCCACATCTGTGTCTGACCGGGGCACTCTGGACACCCGTCTCTGCAGACCATCTCCACATGTACCTCCCATATGCACCTCCACCCAGCATGCCCCCGCTGAGTGCTGGGGCTGGCTTCTTCTCCACTTCTCTCTTCCTCAGGTGGGCAGCCCCACCTCTGTGTGTGTGTGTGTGGGGGAGGGGAACACCATGAAGATGCCGATGATGATGATGACAAAGGACGGACAGGTCG